TCGGATTTTAACTGAAGAAGATTTGATAAAGGGATACAGGAGGGAGCTCACAATTGGACAAACAAGTATTTAATCACAAGAGACATCGCTGCCATGAGATGCTGATGGTTGCTCTGGGCAGCCCTGACTTCACCAGCCAGTTACCTTATGAGATGGATTTCTTGAGGTGCCCTCAGGCTACCTGCATGTGTTGTGTGACAAGATTTTTCCAGAGGAGACGAAACACACTCATCTACTCACCCCAGATAGGGAGCCCATGATAGACCAAAGTGCAGATACCACCAAAGTCCAACTCGGTGCATGAATGGGTTTTACTGGGGTTACTTAGAGGATATGGGTGGGCGGTTACAGGACCAGAAATCACTCAGACAGGTGCATCACCAAAACTGACCCCAGCATGGGTGACAGCTCAGAAAACCTGGGAAACTGCAGTACACTGCACAAATCAACAGGTTGGAAAGTGTCCTTTCCAGGTGCCTCAGCTGGTTAAAACCTCTTCTAGGCTGCTTAGCTGGGCTAGCTTCTTCTAGGCAGCTGGTCTTGTCTTAGTCTTGTCTGCTTCTTTTGACCTCTAAGGGTGTTCCTAGCAGCTCAGCTTTTCTTCCTCTGAGAGGGACTCTCAGCTTTCATTGTTGACTCTGGCAGGAAGGGACCTAGTGAACCTGGACAGTTTCAGGGCTTTCTTAGGATTATTTGGAGTTATCTTTCTGGTTAAGGAGGTCCCAACCCTGCATGGTGCAATGTTTCCATCTCGGAGGAAACTGTTACACAACAGTGGGCCATCAGCATGGGCCAGAAAGAAAGTTCAGGCCAGCAGTGGCCTGTCCACAGTGTCACTGTAAGACCTCCTGTCTTGGATCCCTGTGTTAGTGGTGTTCAATGGTCAGGGTTTAGAGATCACAACTGGGTGAACAGAGGAAAGACTTCATCTCAGCAGATCTATGAGAGTCACAGCCATGAGGTCCAGCATGTAGGGGAGGATAATGAGGCACTACCTGAAGCTGCTGTGAGTTACAGAGATCCAACTGGAAGGAACAGAACTTGCTGGAAATCTGATCTCTCTAATCCAGCCCTCCTAGTCATTGGCTGCTGTATGGATCTTGACAAAGCTGGGGAAGGAAGGCAGATGCTTTCCCCTGGGATTCAGAAAAATAGATACTCTTAGTTGACACCTTCTTTAATGTCTGCAACCTGTGCTTGTCCAATGACAATATTTCAACTTTCTCCATGGGATTAGACATTAAATGCAAACTAGGCAAACTTTGTCATACAGCACATAAATTACAGTATGTAGTGGAACTATTACTCATTACTATTATTATTATTATTATTATTATTATTATTACAATTAATATATTGGGGTGACCCTTCTCAGTGTGGAGATGAGAGGATGACTCGCAGGATCTGATTCTTTCCTTCCACCATGTAAATCTTGGGGATGAACTTCAGGTCACCTGTCTTGGTGACAAGCACTTTACCTTCTTTGATGTTTTGCTTTAGTTGTCAACTTGACACGACCTACAATCACTTGAGAAGAGAGTCCCAGTGATAAATTATCTGCTTTGGGTGACCTGTGGGAGATTGTCTCAAGTGAGTTGTTATAGGAAGATCTAGTCCACTTTTGGGGGGCACCATTCCCTAGCCAGGGGATCTTGAACTGCATACAAATAGATACATTTCCATGAGTGAACACAAGCAAGTAAGCAGGAATGCATTCACTTCTGTCTACTGAGGACTGTGAAAGTAATGTGTGCAGCTATTTTAAGTCCCTTACTCTAATGGTCTATAACGTGGAATTGTGAGCTAAAATAACCCCTTTCAACCATGAGTGACTGAAAGGGAAAAATCAGTAGCCCTCTTAAGAGATGCTCCCTCCCTACCTCCTCTAAAGGTATTTGCTGACCAGAGTTTTATAGCTGACCAGAAATTAAACCCATTGGAAAATAGGACTAAAATAATAAATCTGAATTTATATATCCTGTGCTCAGCAAACACAGGATATAGGGAGTAAAAAATTTATGTCTCTGTAGATACCCTGCATCCTGTTAGCCATTAGTAACCTCACGCTTATATTTCAGCCAGTAACTTCAAAGAACTACCTCACCCTGAGCCCCCTTGTGAAATCCCGAGATATGCAACCCTCTGCACATAAACTTTTCCTATATAAACCCCTTGAAGTGAGTGCTCAGGGCTCTCCTCCTTCACCTACTGTGTTGAGTGTTGGACATGGATCAAGCCTGGGCATGTTTTGCTGTTAACAAATGCCTGTGTGCTTGCATTGGATATTGGCTCTGCGGTGGTCTTGCTTGGGGGGTCTTGTGACACGGGTACAATGTTACTTTTATTTCAGGGTATTTTGTCACAGCAACAGAAATGAAACACCTGCTGAACTTTCTCACCAGCCATGTTCCTATTCAGATACATACATCAAAAACGCCTTGCACCAGGCGGTGGTGGCACACGCCTTTAATCCCAGCACTCGGGAGGCAGAGACAGGC